TGTATATATAGATATAGATTCCTATATTTGTGTGCATCTTCCACTTTCATCTGTCTAATCGCTTTTCATTATTAACACTAAATTTCAGCTTAATTTCATTTGAGGTTCGTTGCCTTTTTGATGGCCCAACTCCCTTTTTGCTGCTGGCCTCTGGCCTTTCACGCTTTGGCGCCGTTGCCACTGGATTTTATTTGCTGCTCTAATCGATACCGACAGTTGCCACACGCCACACGCTTTTCCCCACAACCCTTCACTTTCTAGTTCTCTCGCTGCACAAATTGTGGCAACTTTTTGAATGAGTCTACTCGAACTCTTGGCTGTTTGTGTATATGTGTGCGTGTGTGTGTGTGTGTGTGTGTGTGTGTGGTTGGGGCTGCACTTCAAACATAACACGCCGTTTATAATTTTGGCGCTTGGCTAAACAACGCAGCTGCATCTGCAGCAGTGACTGAGGGAGTGGGGCGGGGGAGTGACGAAGGGGCTAGGCATTGCCTTTGCTGCCATTCAATGAATTCAAAGCATTAAAACAATTAAGCGGCTTTGGCTTCATTGGCTTGGCGCACGACAAGATCGCCCTCTCCCCAATGCAAGCTCCACACAATTGTTGTGGCTACCCTCTGCCCCAGTCCGCAACCCCCAATCCCCGTTCGGTGACCCAAATTTTCACACAAATTAGTACAGCTAATTTTTAATGATGATTTTTCAGTAACGCGTCCCACTTCACTTGGCGTTTTTCATAATTTCCATTTGCCCATTTTGCGTCTCCTTCATCTCCTCATTCTCTCTCTCTCTTCTTTTCTTTATATTTTCCATGTTTATTTTTACGCAATTTATGTGTAGCTGAGGCAGTTGCCCCTCTCGCTCCGCCCTCTCGCATGGGGGCTTCTTTTGCGCCGAGAAATGCAATTGAAATAAACATGGAAAATGTGGTTTACTCGGCTCTGGCGACTGCAGGAGAGTGGGTGTTGGCAGCGCGGGGGACGGTGTTAGGTGCTAGGCAGGCCCTGCGGCAACTGACGCCTTCATCTGTTTTAGTTCTTTTCCTTTTTCAAGGGTGTTGCCACAGCTAAAGCGCAAATCCAGGGCCAACAACAACACAGCAACAACAACAACAACAGCCGCCCATCTCCATGCGTTTCAACTCATTTGCACCTAATTGTCATGCAGGGGAACAACGAGCAACGGCACCCAAATAGGTGTATACACAAGGAGTACGGTCTGGTATCTAGGCACATGCACTCAGAGAAATGCGTATGGCAAAACTGAAAAAGTTAGGCAGAAAGAGAGAGAGAGAGAGAGAGTAGAACTTTACTTTTTCATTAAATTATTTTTATGATCTATCATTTCCTCATTACCATCATCAAGCTAAACTTAGAATCTTTCGGTTTATATCGTATATTTGCATACATATAATTGGATAAATTTATATATCAAAACCCAAGCCTTAGTATGATTAGAAATTTATGCAAATATTGTTCCAATAATGTTTTGATTGCTCTTGTAACAATAGAAAAATTAGCTTGAAGTCGTTTATTGCAAGTATTTCTCATTTATTCTGTATGCTGAGTGGATGACTTTGTTATATCAATGGGCAGCGTTTAGTATCTCTTATGTTCAGTACACTTGGAGAAAATTGTACTCAAATTAAGTTCATTAAAAGTCCAAGTGCTTATTGTTGTGAACTTTTATTATAGAATATAAATACCGAATACACTTAGAGAAAAACTTAGAGACAGCGAACAAAAAAAAATGATATTCTGATAAATGCTCACATTCTTGCCTTATATTTGTAGAATAATTTTGAAACTGTTGATATGAATATTGTTTAGTTCAAACCATGCTAATTCTATTACAATTATATCAATTTTAATTTTTATGTTAATAAAATTCTTTTTATTAATTATAAACATGTGTTTATAGAATACAGCGAAAGAATTTATATAGATTTACATTTCTATTTATATTATATATTGAAATCAAAGGAAAATAATTCCAAAACAAATAAGATTATTATTATAAAACTTATAAGATTTGATAAACAATTATTTTTAAAAATAAAAAACTTTTTGTACCTAATTTATTTTTTTTCTTTCTTTCTTCTTTCTTTTTTTTTATTTTCCAAATTATATTTTAAGAGAGCAAAGTATTTATTTTGCTGTTTTTGTATTAAATTTACCTAGCCTAGATTATTTTTAACACAAATATTTTTAAACTTTGAGAGTACCATAAGTTTTTTTCTCAGTGTAAATGCTTGTACGGCAGGCTGCATAGCAAAAGCTTGGCCGGCACCAGCTGGCTGCCACATTTTTATCATTTCTCTGGTTTTTCTCTCCATCTCCCTAACGCTCTCGCTCTCGCTCTGTCTGTCTCTGTCTATTCTTCTTTTATTCCCTTTATCTGCACCTCTGGGCAAGTCGTTGACTTAATCTGCATTTTCCTCACTTTTTTCTCATTGCTGCCGGCAGCCTCCTTTTTACCATGCGCTTGAGAATGTGCTCACATTTTTGTGTCCCTTGGTCAACAAGACTGAAATTTGCATAGTTCTCAGGCGGCTGCAGCGCTTTAATTTTCATTTAAACTCAACTTGAAATTAAATTGAAAACTTATAGTTTAAATGAAATGATATATTGATTATATTAAAAGTAAAAAGTTGCACCGATTTGTAATTGAGCCTTGTATATATCATTAACAGAATGTGAAATCGCTTTGAAATTGAGCATTGATTTGTACTTTGATATCGATTGGCGATTTATGTTCGTAAATGTTAGCAGTTCCAGCGACTCAAGTAGAGTCATATATATCTATCTAGATTGTGATATCGATAAATATCGATTTGGAGTATATGTTGTGCATTTGCTAATCGTGTTGCTCTGACTAAAGCATTCAAGTATAGTCTCTTGATTTAGATTTGGATAGTTCGGTAAAAGTCTATTAGCAGAATCTAGCAGTATGAAATTTAACTTGACATAGGTTGATAAATATTTCACTTTTGCTCAAAATATTTGAGTTGCTCAATCAATATTTGCGTTACTATTTGAGTGAATTATAAATTTAGTAGAGCTGACATATTAGCTCTCTACTCTCATAATGCTCTCCATTTATGTCACAAATGTAATCCAGAGAGGATCGATCTTCTTTTACTTATGCTCCCATATCATAGTATCAAATAATATAATATCGATATATTATTCAGCTATCTGGTTTTAGCCATTTTATTTGCTAACAGTTTCTTCAGAGATGAAATTATAGTTTTATTTTATCTCTTTCTCTCTATCTTCCTATCCTATATTCCTCTCTTCTTGCTATCGTTCAGTAAATTCTTGTTTGTCCCATTCTATCTGTTTTATCCCGCTTATTCTGCCTTTGCTACGCTCGACATTTGCAGCATTCCCTCGTAGGATTTCGGAGATTCGCTGCGTTTCAAGCGCTGCTAATTCTCTGTCACCTTAAACGGCATAAAGTCCTGGTGGCTGGCAGGCAACAGCGAGATCTTTTGTTGGCCAGTTGCTGTCCCCTTGTCCCCAGCCTGGGCCACGACTAAACAATAGGCCAACAGCCCACAGACACGCCTCTTGCTGCTGCTTTATCAACATGCAAAATTTTCTGGTTTTTTTGTCTTTTATGCGGTCGCGTTTTGCATTCGCGTTTCCACAATGCGCTAAATAATTTTATTTTAATTTTATTTTTAACTCCAGTTTTTTATATTTTCTGTTTGCGTTTTAAATTGCATTTGTTTATGGCGCTCTGCTTCTTATTCAGCGTTTGTGCAGCTGGCTGCAGTCAACGTCGATTTTCAGTTTTCAATTTTCGCAGTTTTCCCCCGCTTTCCATTTGGTATTCTGTATGCCGTTTCCTTGGCCGTTATTCAAATACTGTTTGGTCGTTTATCGCCTTTTGGGGCGGAGCCCAAAGCGCTTTTTATTACCCGCAATTTGCGCATTTTCACTTTTAGTTTTAATTAACTAAAAATTTTGTGCGACAACCAAACAGAAGTGCCCAAGCCCAAGCAAAAGCCCGAGCCTGAGCCATAGCCCTCGCGCTCGCCTCTCGGTGCCCTTCGCATTTCCCCAGGGCAATTTTCTAGCCTTTTACTTTTGCGATTTAATTTTTATACCCTTGCCGAAAAAGGCTTTCCTATTTGAAGTAGAAGCGTTCAAAGGTTTTAATCTCAATTTATATAGAACCGAAATTCGTGCTTAGCTTTTAAATGAGCGTGCTGCATTAGCATGATGCGCCCCCTTTTGTTTTTCTTGGTAAAAAATTATGCAAAAATGGGCTTTAAGATGTAAATAATTATGTGAATAACCCTCTAAATCCGTATAAAAGAAAACGTGTTCAGTTCATAATAAATAAACATATTTAGAATCTCATGGGAATAAAGAAAATTTCTCTTATATATATTTTTTTTAGTATTTTTATAATCTTAATCTCTTGGTTTTTTATTTTTACAATATTATTTTAAATATTTATATATATATATGTATTGTTTTATTACACAAATTTATTTCATTGAAGAAGCCATCATATTTATATATTTATTTATTTTTCAAATTTATTTTTTTTTATGATTTAAGCAATTAATTTATTAAATTCAATTTATATAATTTTCTCTTAACATATATTTTATATGCTATATACTGTGTAATGATATTAAAAAATTATTTTATTTGACTTTTTAAATTATTCCTTCATTATAATTATAACTCTACCTATTAAAGTGCTTAAGTAAGCTTTGACTGCAGCTAAAACAAAAAACAAAAAAAAAGAAGCGAAAGGGTTAACTATAGAGTATGTAAAAAACATCGTAAATTTTCATTTATTTAATTTTTGTTTTATTTTCATTTCCATTTATTTGTTGCTTTGTTTATTTTCCCCTGCATTTTATTTGCATTAACAGCAATTTTTACTATTTTATTTCGTCGCCCTCGTTTTGTGTTTGTGCTCAAATTGTTTTTCTTTTTATTTTTTTGTGCTTCGTTTTGCACACAATTTTCCGGCACATTTTCACAATTTCACAGTTTTTCATTCTTTTTTTCGTTTCGTTTGCTGGCCGCACAATTTTAATTATTTGCAAATGGAAGGCTTTTGGGTGGGCTTCGCCAGCTACTCATTATTGTTTACGGGCGGGTTCTTTGGACAAAAGAATACCCTGTACTCTCTTCACTCTCTCTCTTCAGTCTTCCTCTGTCTTTGTCCACTCTCTCTCTCGCTTCCTCTCGTCTGCAGTAAAAGTTCAAAGTGCAAGTTTTCGGCTTTGACTCTTTTACCGCTTGCGGCTTTAATTGAACTCGAAGCCAGACACATTTTTCAATGCGCCTTGCGGCTAGCCACAAGAGCAGCGACAACATGGACAACAACAACAACAACAAATTCCCTTTGTTCTGCAAACTAATTAAACATGGAAAGAAACATCGCTGGACAGCATCCAGCTCTGCCTTTTCCCCACCTTGACCAGGTGCTCCACTATTAATTTATTTTCGGTATTTTTTTTTTTTTAATCGTATATTGTTTTCTCTTTTAGTTCTTCGCTGTTCTTATTTCCAATTACCAAACACTTGGAGCCGCCTTCTGAGACCGTGATTAATGGCCGAAATGGACGTGGCTTCATTTTGATTGCCGCCTGTCCAATTGGCCGGCACATCATTTGTTCTTAAACACAACACAAATACAAAACTGTTGGCTAAATTCAATACAAAGCAACAACAACGACTGCGATTGGCTTTTCAATTTTCTTCCACAAGAAAATAAAAAAGAAAACGGATTGGCTTTCTTGCCCATTGCCCATTAATCAGTTTCCACTTTCTTGTTTTAGTTGTTGCTGTAGTTGTTGCTGTAGTTGTTGCTGTGTGGTCTCTTTGGCAACTGAAATTAGCTGTTACTCCCACCATAACAATTGTTGTCGTGAGCTATCGCACAGCACGCACTCTGAATCCGATTAAAGGTCTCAGTTCGAATCGTTGCCAAAACAAAACACAAAATGTGTTTAACACGCTTCAAATGTGGCTCAAGCGCATAAACAAACACACCTGAGCTCAAATATTGAGTAATTGTAAGTGTTTTTCTTCTATTTGATTTTGAGCTGTTCGAGAGCGCTCATTGAATCATAAGCATAAAATGTCGTCATATGCAGTCAGCTTTGTTATGTAAGTTTTCGAAATTGTCGAAAAGTATTGAGAGGGTCTGATGCACGTCTGTACTTAATGGGTTTTACAAGTTGTTAAAAAAGCAAATAAAAGAGATAATATTCTGTATGGATTTGACTCGCTAGATAGGGTAATCATATTTAGGTATATTTGTGGAAGAGCTGATAGTCTTATATGAACTGAGATCCGTTTGGATCAGATCTAATCTTGAAAATATGTATACCTATAGGGCAACTGTAACGTGTGACTACAATTCTATAATAGAAATCACCTATGCATGTCAACAGTAACTCCATTATCAAATTGTGATAATCTGAAGCTTTAGAAATGGTGCTTATATGTCTTCTGTTATAATCTTTTCTTGCCCTATAATCTAAAACCTGATTAAGTTGTCCTTAAAATTAGCCAAAAATTGTTAAGAAAAAATGTACTAATTATATCCATTTAAAATGGGAAATCAATTTTAATTTAAGATATAAATATTTATTCATTTATTTGATTGTTACAAAGAATTAATTCTAAATAACAATTTAGTTTAAGGCCAGAGCAATAAAGGCCTTCAGGCATATATAAAATAACTACTTTAGAAGACATAGACTTTTTCGATTTGCCATGTAAATATATATAAACTATATATATTGCTAAATGAGTCTATAATTTATAATTTTTATAGTATTATGTATAATATATTATAATATTCCATATGAGTCTGTAATTTAAACTTTAATAACAGCCTTTCTGTCATTTAAAAAAAAAAAAGACTTCCCAATTAGACGCTATCCTGTGCTCTCTCCACTCGCAAGGAATTCTTAAATGACATTTTTCATATTCAACTCACAAAATATTCGCAACATATAACGTCTTAATATGCGATTCAGAAAAAAGTACAATTGACAAAGCCGAGAGCCGAATTACTTCTTCTCCATTTAAAAGGCCAATTTCAAAACGCCACAGGCAGTCAGTTCATGCAGAAATAAAACCCACAGGAACCGAGCTAATCAACTACTTTTCTAATAACTTTATTTACTTTTCACAATTTGCCCAGCCTAACCTCTCTTTTATGTATTCAGATATCTAAATATAAAATAGTTCTACATGCATTTTTTCTGGCTCAAATATTTCGATAGTCACCAGCTGACATTTTAAATGGCTTTTTCTCTCTATCTCTCTCCCTCCCTCTCTCTCTCTCTCTATCGCAGAGAACTTTACGTGTGCTTCAAGGTAGTTGCATTCCGTAAACAAAGAGTTGCATCAACTAGCAGGTTCAATGAACGAGTCAATGCCGCACTTTCCCTGCATTTAGCCAACCCCGCCCCCCCCTCTCATTCCCTCACGCCCTTTCCAGGTGCACAAGTGGCACTTTTTACTTGTAATGAACAACAACAGCAACTACTAAGTACACAAAAGCATAAACAAAGCAATCGCCGCTGGCATAAACAAAAGGCCTGCATTTTGTAAAACCTGCAGCTGCCGCACTGGGAGGCATTGAGAATGAGGGGAAGTACACAGAAAAGTGACTCAAAGATTCTCTCTGATTGTTTTCTGCCCCTGACTCCTCCCTCTCCCTCTTCCCCTCCCCCCTCCCTCCTTCGTTGCTTACTTCTCGGTTCATTTGACGACACACTTTCTGGGGGTCTTCAACACTTGAGCAAGGTCGCAAACTTTTTGGCAATCCATTAAATATGCTCGCCCGACCGACGACTGACTGGCTGTTTGCCTGTTTTCTAAGCAAATGTCAAAAGCTGTGCAAAATTCCACAAATCCGAGAAAAACAACAAATAAGTAAAAGTAAAGAGTAGTTGAGAAAAAGTTAATGAAGCCCAACGCGCATGTCGAGCAGTCAAATGAAGCCAATAGAGTCGCACGTAGTCCTACGCTTGTCAAGAGATACTAGATAGATAAGCAAAAATCATCGAAATGCTATGAGAAATGGAATAACCACTTCTAAAAGCAAATCATAAGAGAGCAGCAGTAGAGGCAGACCAACAATAATGGGATTAAAATAGAATTTCAGTATTGTTGAATGCTGATTTAAAAAAATCAATCCATTGAATGATCAATTATATATACATATTTATATATATATTAAATATATTTTAAAGAAGTAAAATACAATAAAACTAATTATAATTTGTGGGAAGCTTTTGTTAAGTAACGGCTTGGTGACTACATAAGTTAAATGTGGAGTATAGAAATACATTGTCACAATATAATACAAATATCTACATATGCCCTCATCAAAAATATATAAAATATTTTAAACTGAAAATGTAAATAATTGTTAATATATCAAATTAAAAATTTTAAAGTAAATAAAATAAAAACAAGTAAGAAAGCTCTAGTCGAGACTACTCGACTACGAGATCCCCTGAACCCTTGGAGTAATAGCTATTTCAATAATTTTTCGCGTCTTTCAGCTTACACAAGAAACACGCACACACACACACGCACGCACGCACACACAGGCATACATACACACACATACATACACACACACACACACACACACACACACACACACATACACAAGCAATTACATACATATACACACACAGGCATAAACACGCATGGGCGGCAGTGAGCGCTTACTATCGGAACTTAATTGCTTAATAACTTTTTTGTGGACGTACGATCTTCATGAAACTTTCAGATTATGATTATGACATGGATATGCATGTAGTTGCCAAAGCACAAGTCTCTAGTATTTGAAATACGCTTTTTACAAAAGTGAGGGTGAGGGGGTGAATTTAAGGGTGGGGGGGTAAATTTTAACAAAAACCGAAATTGTATAAATTGCATATAGGCATACATTAAAAATTTGGAGACTCTAGCAATAAAGGTGTAGAAGATATAATGTTATAACTGGTTTTCGATAAGGTTTTTTATCGATAAAAAAAGATCGGGATGAGTTATCGATTTTTAATGATAAACTTGATATGCGCGCTGTAATTACGAACATTTAAAAAAAAATTTGAAGTCTCTAGCTCTTATATCTTCTGAAATCGACGCGTTCATACATAGACGGACAGACGGACAGACGGACAGACGGACGGACGGACAGACGGACAGACGGACAGACAGACGGACAGGGCCAAATCAACTCAGCTCGTCGCCCTGATCAAGAATATATATACTTTGTGGGGTCTGCCACGCCTCCTTCTGCCTGTTACATACATTTCAACAAAACCATTATACCCTGATTTCCCATTGAAAATGGGTTCAGGGTATAAAAATAAATTAATAAAATTCCCAGCTTTAGTCCCAAAAATATATGAAGTAAAATGCTTTGACTTTACAGGTATTTCTACTACAAAATTAATGGTTCCTATTACCTATAATCTAAGCATTATCTTTCATCATATCATATTCCTAAATAATGATTATCAACTGTAAGTCACACGTTTAGGTTTTGTAATTCAAGAAATCAATTTTAAGTCTTTATCATTTATGAATTGTTGCTATTGATATCGTTTTATGGTTCTATTATATTGCTAGTGGGTTCTATTCTTTTTTTTGTATGAAAAGTATAAGTTACATTTCTTTTCAACATTCTTATAACGCACATGATTATATTAAATTATATTAAAAAATGTTTTTGAATTCTTTTCATATAAAATTTAATGTATACACAAAATCTTTTTCGAAATTTCGCAAAATAGATATAAAAATATTTTTTTCTTTATTCCTGAACTTCGCTTTCGTAATCCCATTCCTAAATACCATCGTTTTCTACCAATCATCAATGTACCTCAAAAAATCATCAATAATCAAACTATATTTTGCGATTCACTGTAGATCCGTCTCTTATGCTGATACTTGTAGCAAATTTTATATGCGTAAATAAAGGTTGGCCGTAATTATTTATTTTATTTTCCTTTTAAATCTGTTTTTAAATTAAACTTCCCTCAATTGCACTACGCCCCCATCTCTCTCTATCATTCCCTTTTGACATCCCATTCAATTGCAACGTTTCATATTTCTAAATTCCTTTAGTGACTACCCCTATGTCTATAGCTAACATGTTTATTCGCTTAATGCAAACCAATATTTCATCATGTATGTCTATCTCTCACACACGTAATAGGCGACAAACTCGATTATTTTACAATTTTGTTAGCAAACTCAGTCGATTGACGGCGCCGGACTCCCTTTGCTAAGTTAGTTGTGTTGAGTGCATTCGCCCACACTCAGATTGAGAGTCAATTCTTTTTTTTTTTTTTTTTTTAATTGACAAGCAAAACCCGAAGAGTGGAGCCGATGCCCCTGTCAAATCTCGCCATGCTGTAAACTGATTGAAAATGCGGGCGCAAAACATTCCGCAGCGACCCGCACAGCTGCAGATACAAATGTATCTATGTATCTATGTATCTCTGTATCTATGCAACATTGCATCTTGCAGTGGCAGTTGCCAAGTGCAGCACGCATTGAATCACTCACGAGTGTGACTCAGTCAGCCAGTCAGCTAGTCAGTTCGTCAGTCAGTCAATTATACAATGTTGCCGTCAACTGGTGAAGAGTATCAAGATGATATCTATCAGATACTTAGATACAATTTTTTTCTTTTTTT